CTGCATGTCTTTTCAACCATAAAACTACGGCAGGAAAACATTCTGTGTAGTCTTACCTTAGAATAAACACAAAGACCCTCATGAATGGCTGCTTGTCTCCTATGTGCAACAATGAACAGCTGCTTCTGGGCAGCAGTGTAATGAAAAACATCCCATAAACTTTTGATGTTACATAAACATTTTCTAGTAGAATGTGCATCATACCTTACATATTCTGAGTGATTCCCCCATAGGCTTTTTGAACAAGATTTTACATAAATAAAAATATGCAGATCCAAAACTCTCATAGTGCTACAATCGTAATGTTGATGCCAGTTCTTTCCTTTCTAGAAATCAAACAAATAATGTAATTTAAAGCTTCTGATTAATTAGTCAAAGGCGCAAATCCTGTTGCACAACTGTATACCATGTAAGGCTAATGAGCAGGGCAGTTGAAGATGGGACATTGTGATGGGACATCTCTTCATAAGTCAGAGGAGATTTGATGGCACATACTGTACTTACAACAAGAACATGCCATCACCATGTTTGTCATCACTCATAGGGTAGAACAATAGTATATAAACTTTTAAACTTAAAATTCATTATTAAGAATAATGAATATGAAATCATATGAGTGTCAACATTGTGTGTGGTAATAAACAGAGCAGAAGTGACAAAAGATTTACCCAGAACTCTAATGAAATGTTAGCTAAAACGAGTCTTCATGTTATATAGTGTGAATACCATGCCATAGACATATTATTTATGATTATAAAAGAACATATTCCACACTCCTTCCCCCCCCCAGTTTTTCGGGATAAAAACATGGCTTTGGGGGGCGGAGCGGGTGGGGGTACTGTTCCCCCCCCCCCCAATTTTTCTGATTTTTCCCCCAGGCCTTTCCACCTCTAGGCAGTGCATATACCGGTATGTACAACATATGAGTACAGCAGTTTGATACTACTTAGACAGATCTGGTGTCTTGCCTGTGGAATCCTGGTGTTTGTAGTTGGGTGGCAGATTTAGAATTCGGTGCTAGAGAGCTCTAGGGCTCTGCCCTGAACTACAGCAGAAAACTGTAGTCCCTTGTTGAATTACAGAATTCCACAGGATGGAGCAGCGTCCCTTAAAGTAACAAAAAACCTATCTGTGTGGTCTAGATACAGTGAGTGAGTGGTGGAAAAGGTTGGATGCTCCAGGAAAGGTTTGCTATTTGACTCGATAAGCAAAAGAGAGATGACTTTGTCACCGTGAAGGTTGAGGTGGCAGCCACGTTTGTGCAGGGGGCACAAGGTGAGTCATGAGGATATGGAACCTTTTTCATGAGACGTGGTTGTTTGACTAAACTAGCTGGTTCTGGTCTCCTGGAAGACACTGAGGTTCGATTTAGGAAGCCTCTGACTTTGATCGTGCTCCACACATTTTACCGTATCTCACAGAACAAGATCAGACTTGAATGGGTGGATACTCTTAGTGAGTTCACGATCCCATCACCGTACTGCTGTCTGAATGTTTCGGTCTCGTTTTATAAGAGACGCAGCAACAACAACATGGGTGCTTTCAGGCAGTGGGTATTGACATACAGTAATATTCTTAGTCTTCTTCCGATCTATCATCTTAGTGGTTTGAAAGCAGTGAACATCCTTACCTCGACAGATAACTTGTATGTGTTAAAAAATCATGTTTTTACTGGTAAATTCCGAATATCTCGGCCTGAACGGTTTCTTTTGAAAACATATTTGTACTTTGCCTGAAAGCCGCAAGCTCATAAAATAGGCATTCGACATTTTGGCTTTCCCGCAGGCCATTACATTGTAATTTTATGTCCTTGCTTATACTTGCAAATAATGCTCAAATGTATGCTGCTAAAGTACTGGAGAACAAATGTTTAAACGTTAGCTTTCAAACACTTGCTCTCCAAGTTAATCGTGTTGTTCACTTATAATTGCGTCAGTTTCCTGCAAGGGGGGGGGGAACAATTTCTATCAGCAGAGTCCAGTAAGGTATCATTTTTTTGAAAGGTTGCTACTGAGTTAAATATGCACAATGTTACAAAATTGTGTTTCTTTCAAAAAACCCTAATAAAAACAATGGTCCTCGTGCAGTGCTTTACATATTGCCTTGAGTTCATCAAAGCAGTGCAGCTTCCTTAAGTACATATGACTCATGATTGTCTGCATGACCTTATATTAAATCACTATGGTTGACAGCACATCTTGGGACCTCTGGCCTTCCAGATACTTATGAACTTCTGTTCTGTCCTACCAATCCCAGATCCCTCCACCTGGGCTCAAACGTGACCATATGGTAAAGGTAAAGGTTCCCCTTGACAATTTTTGTCCAGTCGTGTTCGACTCTAGGGGGTGGTGCTCATCCCCGTTTCCAAGCCATAGAGCCAGCGTTTTTGTCCGAAGACAATCTTCTGTGGTCACATGGCCAGTGCGACTTAGACATGGAACGCTGTTACCTTCCCACCAAGGTGGTCCCTATTTATCTACTTGCATTTGCATGCTTTCAAACGGCGAGGTTGGCGGCAGCTGGGACAAGCTACGGGCACTCACTCCATTGCATGGATTCAATCTTAAGACTGCTTGGTCTTCTGACCCTGCAGCACAGGCTTCTGCGGTTTAACCCACAGTGCCACCACGTCCCTTTTGACCATATGGTACTCAAGTGCTAATTCCGAAATCATGTTTAGTTGTCTCTCCACCACCTCCTTTCATTTCTCATTTAACCATGTACTTGAGCAATGGTTCTTGAATACCTGTACAGAAATGTGCATAGGAGCTGCTCATGTAAATGACAGTGGGTAAAGCAAAATGTTCTTGTTTAGTTGTTAAGTCATGTCCAACTCTTCGTGACCCCATGGACCAGAGCACACCAGGCCCTCCTGTCTTCCACTGCCTCCCAGAGTTTGGTCAAATTCATGTTGGTAGCTGAACACAGAATTTATAAATACTAATTTCTGTGGCAGACAGGAGGCAAAATTATATTCAATTTTGCATCGGATGTGGATTCTGTTGAGGAAAATGAGCATGGTTTAACAGTTCTTCTTGTAATGGATCTCAGTGACTGAGTCATCCGAGTCCTAATGTTACTGTACATTTGTAAGGTTGATTTCTTGTTTTATGTTTCACAAACACCTTCCTGTTCTGCAGTAAGTAACAGTGGCAGCCCTTTCTTCTCTGCTTCCTGAGGCAACACAGATGCTTCCACTGCTGTTTTTCCTCATCACCTTTCCTTCCTTCCTGCCAGCCCTCTATCCTCTGTCTCTCTCGTCTCTGCTGAGTCGGCCAAAGGGTTCCTTGGTCAGAGCCAGGCATTTATGGCATGGCCAGCTCTGACTCTCTGGAGTGGCGCTTGGGGCACTCCTGCAGTGAAGGACCACAGTTTACTGCTGCTGCTGAGGCTCCATCACCTGGAGCAGTTACTTTCTTTTAGCTAGCTAGCAAACAGGCTGCTCCTGACTGCAAGGGCTTCATAAAAAATGAGTTGTCTGTATAGTGTTGTGGAGTTTGGAATGAGATGCGTTCATTGAGCATGTCTTCAGCACATTTAAATCACTTAAGTCACACTGTTGAAGGATGTAAAATACTTGCTGGGAACAGAATCCCAGAGTATCACAGCTTGAGATGCAGTCAGGCAGATGTTTCTGAAATGGCGACAATCATATTCTGAGCATTGTGTAGGTAAATCACAGGATGTTGATGAACTGTGTTCCTTTCGTGAACTCTTGCTTTTTGTGTTGTAAACACACAACTATAGTAGAAAGAGAAGGGACTCTTTGGAAGCGTAACATCAAATATTTAAGAATTCCTTACTTCAGTATTTTCCACCCCTGACAAACTGTTGAAGTATAAAGCAAGCCTCCCTTTCTAGTATCCCTTGTAATATTTATTGATTAGAAAGCTGCAAAGAGTGGGTACTTAAATTGATCTTGACTCATTCCTTGACATGGAAAAAGATGAGCAGAGTTTGAAACGAAGAATGCTAGTGAATGTCATGTCGTCTGGACTCGGAGATTAGGCAGGGAGGAGGGCTTGGCCTCCCACTGCTGTAGACTGCAGATGAGTGATAAGACACGGTGCCCTGGACCCCGTCGCTGAGACTGTTAATGGGAAGCCCGGGTGGGCACCAGGTTTTATCTTGACTTAATGCATTCTAAAAAGCAAGGTGCCTTGGCCTTAAATTCTTCCTTTTTTGTTTTAAAGAAAGAGATGTATGTGCACTTTTGAAAATGCATTCATGGTTGAAGAAGCCTTGAGAAAGTGAGAGTGCATACGTAGGAAGCGGCAGCTACTGATCTCTGAATGGTATGTGTGTTCAGGTATCAAGCCACAAGTGCAGAACTAAGTAAAGGTTTCCTTGAAAGGATTTAGCTGTCAAATAGAGGTAAATAGCAGCTACTGACTTGAAGGCAAGAGTCACTGTAGTCTGCCCTGCTAGTCTGTTCATTTGCCTGTTTCCAGTTTGGGGTCTTCTGTGTCAGCTTGGATAACACTCTCTCTTCCTTTCACCACAGTTAGATTTGGTACAAAACAGGCTTCCAGGTTTCCTTCTATGCAATCCTGCCTTTGTTTGTTTGTGTTGCTGAGACACTTCACTGAAAAAAAGGGTTTTCTGTATTTGCCTTGTTTAAGTACAGCTATTTTACAAATGAGATGCAAACATTCATTTGAATCAGAAATCATAGCGGCAAAAGGTAGCCAAATGACACTGCAGTAAGCAAAAAAAAAAAAAAAAAAAGGTAAGGTCAGTTCTGGTCATAGAACTCCCTCCATAGCTTTGACCAGCTTTGAAAATATTCCCATTGTGTATCTAACATTTCATAGAATGCTTGTCCACAAGGGACTTGTTAGATCAAGCTGCATCTCCTAAACCTCGGTGTGCAAGCGATATGCAATCCTGGCGACGCAATCCAAACGTGTGACTTGGAGATCAGAGTTCCTCCTTCTCTCCTCACTCCTTTGGCAGCTTGTTTCCCATTTCAAGGCCCATCTGCTTTTGCAATCTTGCAGGCGCAACCTGACAAAGCTGTCCCTGATCTTCAGCCATATGCTGGCAGAGCTGAAAGGCATTTTCCCAAGTGGGCTCTTCCAGGGAGACACATTCCGGATCACGAAGGCAGATGCAGCAGAGTTCTGGAGAAAAGCTTTTGGGGAAAAGTAAGTATTCTTTCCTCCCATTCCGAATAATACTGCTAGTGCTTCTGCCTTCAGGTCTTTAGTACAAAGGAGTTCATAAATGGGAGGTGCCTGCTGAAAGCATCTTGTTCAGGTGTTGGCATCTGTGAATATTATAAGGAAATAACAAAGAAAAAAAGACCCAGCGAAAGTTGCAAGGGAGTGCTTACCACCTACTTGTGGCCCCCAGTCATTACTGTTGAAAATTCAAGCACAAGAGTTTTCTTAAGTCATCAGACTTACTTATTCTGTTCAAGGTATGAGGATGCCAGCTGCTACTACGTTGTTGTTTTGGCCTGCAACTCTTAATGATTGGGTCATTTTTGATAGAACATGGGGCAGCAGTGAATAGCAGCAGTACGTGCCATTCCACATAGAATAGTGGACAAACAAACCAGGCATTTTGTATCTTCCTATCAGTTGTGTAGGTTGCAATAGTATTAAACAGTCTTTTTTTAATCTGCTGCACATGGAAGTGAAATGATAAACTACAAGGAGGTAAAAGACTGTCATAATTCCAGATGCCTTTCTCTAAATAAAATTAAGTGTAGGTGGAGGCCAGAATCATACATTTCTTTCTAATGGAGCCTGTATTTGTGAAATATTTATTGCAAATCTGTAAAAATATATTGTCATGCGCTGGTTGTAAAAATACTCAGTGCTAGGCCTTGATTGTATGTTGTTGTTGCTTTTCTTTATTTCTAGCAGTTAACTTGTCACTTGCTTACTTTTTGGAAGTCTTTAGTTAGACATGAGAAACCTTGTTTACATGAAGGTTGGGACAATCCTGTTTGCTTGCTGCTTCAGTAATAATATTCCAGATGTTTTAGTAATCAGTTTCATCAATTACTGAGAACCAGTTCACAGTTAGAGCTGATGCTGTCGATTTGCATTTAAATGAAATTTGTTTCTGTTCAGTGAAATAAATGCCTTGTACTGTGGCAGAAGGCACGGTGTCGGTGTCTCAGGACTGCCTTTTCTCCCCTGCCAGAACCATTGTCCCTTGGAAGACCTTCCGACAAGCCCTACATGAAGTACATCCCATAAGTTCAGGCTTAGAGGCAATGGCACTGAAATCAACCATTGACTTGACGTGCAATGACTATATTTCAGTATTTGAATTTGATATTTTTACCCGTCTCTTTCAGGTAAGGCTTCCTTGAGTATAGTGTAACTTAACTTCTTTTTTCTTTTTGCTTGTTCTGTACTACTGTGAACACTTGCATTCGTCCTTTTCATCTGGCCATTTTGTACATGCCAAAGTCTTGGAATAGTCCTCTAAAAGTGGCAGCAATGATTCATTTCACTTCTGCTACCATTTTAAAAGACTGGCAAAAATCAGAGGATTCATTCCAGCCGCCTAGAGTGGTCTATTGACTAGATAGGCGGGATATAAATAAAATAAATAAATAAATAAATAATAAACGACAATTTGACTGCAGTGGTCCTTCAGCGGCCCCGGTTCCCTTCAGAATGTTAGTTTGTGTAGTGGTGGGATTTACTGATTTCAAATCTGAACTAAACCACAAACGTACACTGAATAAATTATTGATTTCCAGCCTGTCACTGAAAAATAAGAGCTTGTTCTGCTGGGTTGTTGTGGGGATAAGTGAGCAGGTTTTAAAGATTTGCATCACCTCCCAAAATACTCTTAAAAGGCTGCATTTTTAAACTGTGCACACCTTTACAGAAGAATGAGCTCCATTCAGCTTGGTTGGACTGAATTCTCAGTAAACTTACGTGGGATCTGGTCCATGGGGAAGAACAATGGTGGCCTAATCTGGTATAAATTTAGTTTCACTTGCTCTGAGATAGAACGGGAGCGATTAGAAGACAATTTTTGCTGTTGAAATGGCTAGCTTAATGATAGCATTCTTTCTCCTCAGCCATGGTCATCTTTGCTCAGGAACTGGAATAGTCTCGCAGTGACTCACCCTGGCTACATGGCATTCCTGACTTATGATGAGGTCAAGGCACGACTTCAGAAATTCATTCACAAACCTGGCAGGTGAGTGCCTGAAGTCAGCTTCCTTTTCTGAAGCTTCCTGCAGACATAGTGTCTCATGCACTGCACTCTGTCAGAGGAAATCTGACGCAAGTCAAGGGCTGCACAAGGCACTCATGGTGTGTTGCCATCGATCTAAATTTAAAGCAAGACGTACTGCCTTTTAGCATCAGATTGAATCTATTTTTACTCATATGCTTCAGCTGGTTTGGGAAAGTAACAATTGCTTTAAAAAAATAGTTAATGTTTCTTTGTGGCATTTGGGATTGGGTGGATTAGGGTGGGAGTAGCCATCTATGTTACTATTGTGTTTCCCTGAAAATAAGACAGGGCCTTATATTAATTTTTGCTCCAAAAATGCATTAGGGCTTATTTTCAGGGGATTTTTTCCCCGTGTACAACAATCTACATTTATTTAAATACAGTCGTGCCATCTTCTTCTGGTTGCTGCACAATGGTGGAGAGTGGGCTTTCACTTAACTAGGGCTTATTTGGGGGGGGGTAGGGCTTATATGACGAGCATCCTGAAAAAATCATAGTAGGGCTTATTTTCGGGGAAATGGCAATAAGGTGGCAGCAGAGGAGAACGAGGACTAGTGACTAAGTGCGGGAGATGCGTGTCTTGTTCTGGCTATTGGTGTACACCCAAAGCATCACCTGCTATGTGGCCTCAGTGGTGCAGCCTGCTTTAATTTCCAGTGTTGGCAACCGTTTCTTTCAAGTTCCAACTTCAATCACATACGGTCAATAAGCCTTACCTCTTTATTTCAGATCACAAAGTGGGATTTTATATCCAGAGGCAGCACTTCTGTGAAAAGGTGTCTAACACCTCTGGCGCAAAGGTCTAACACCTTTGGGGCATTAAAAGCAAAACAGAAAAGTCCTGGTTCCAAATAAAAATCTGGGCCTGCTTGCTGTTTTAGAGCACATTGATTTAATGACATTGAAATGTCATCCTGCCCCAGACAGAAGTCTGCTGAATTTTCTCTTTCTGGGAACATGATTATTGCCTTTTGTTACTGAAAAGTGGAATCCTTAGTTTTCCATTCAGAAACAGAACTTCCTATGTAATTTTAATTCTCAACATTGAAGAAGTATGCTTGCAATATTAGATAAGTCTAACATTTGAATATTTTCTATCTCTCTGTAGGATTCTTGCTTTGTTTTACAGATGAAATTTACGGAAAGCTTAGTAAGAAGAAGACTGCTTTTCAGTTCTTCCATTTTAAACAAGAGTCTGTATGAATAGGTAGTTCAGCTTGCAGGTTTGTTCTATGAGTGTTGATTTGTAATTTGTGTTTATTTTTTGTTTTCAGTTATATTTTCCGTCTGAGCTGTACACGACTTGGCCAGTGGGCGATCGGTTATGTCACGGCAGATGGAAATATTCTCCAGACGATCCCCCACAACAAACCCCTTTTTCAGGCACTAATTGATGGCTTCAGGGAAGGCTTGTAAGTAATTCCTCAATACAGCGTGTTGTGACTCCTGCTGTTCTAGTTACTGAGCTGGAAAGATGGTGTCACCCAGTTGCAGGTTTTACACCGTACTTCCTTAGCTCTTACTTGCTGAGCGATGGAAAAGAGCGGGTGACTTTGTTCCATTGTGTTCTGGAGGAGGTGAAATATTTCTGGAAAATCAGGCAGTGGCGTTCAGATTTAAAAATATATGCTTTCTAATTAAGCATATATAAAACCCTGAAAAAAGCATATACATTTTTTTGAAAAGGGTCACCATAAATCATTAACTTGACAGCTCTTGATTATTATTTCTGTATTATTATTTATTAAGCACATGCTTAATTATAGTAAGTGATCATTAGATAGGGTCTGGATTGGAGACCCATCTTCCAGTCCTTCAATATATAACAGACTTAGCTTCAGCCTTAAAGCTTTCCAGTGTGAAGGTGTGTTCAGGCCATAAAAAAAAACAGAACTGCAGTTCTGCCCTTTGACACAGCATTTTGGTTAAGGTGTTAGAGCAACCGGGAAGAGCTTGAAGCTTGTCATTTTCCGGCACATTTGTTAGCAGATGGGGAACGGTAAGTTGTACTTTCGCTTTAAGAATTCTTTGTTTTGCAGGCTCTTCTCTTTAAGAAAGTTCATTTTCATAATCGGAATTTTTCCTCTAGTGCTCATGTCTTTCGCGTCCCTTTCTTGTGACTATGACATGTCCAAGGGGTTCCACTATAGACAGGTGTGCTGATTTCTTCTGAATGCTCTTGTGTTCTCCCCTGCAGTTACTTATATCCTGATGGACGGAATCAGAATCCCGACCTGACAGGTCTGTGTGAGCCCACGCCACAGGACCACATCAAAGTGACACAGGTGAGCAGAAGCTGCTTCCCCCCCCCCTTAGTCACCTCTTGGCTGACACCCGTGCTTTGGGTCTGTTCTCAACAAGCACTGAAACCTTCGTTCCAATGTCTTGCTTAGAATATGGATACCTCAGGGCTTGGGAAGAAAGAGGATGAAGAGATATGATGTGATACCGGGTCACTTTTGAACCTAGTTTGGAAAGAAGAGACTGAAGTATTTTATTTTACCATTCACTTTTCCTCCTTCTCCAAGTCCACAATTTGAAAATTTTGTATGTGGGGGGGAATGACAGTATTAAAAAAAACGCCATACCATATTGTCTTATGTCATTGTCTGGACTTCCGTCTCTTTAAAGGGAATGAGAGGTGGTTCTAGAGAGGTACCTTTAAATACACAGAAGCATTTACACTGTCAGTTGACAGCATTTAAACTGAGATTTTGAACCTCATTCAGGTGACAATCTTGGCGGAAATAAAGAGCAAAAAAAAATCACCTCTTTGCAAGTAGGTGGATTCGTTATTCAACTGTTATCCTAAAGGAAGGTATTATTACAAACCCCTCACGTTCTTGTTCATTGTCTTCCTCTTAGGAACAATATGAGTTGTACTGCGAGATGGGATCCACCTTCCAACTCTGTAAAATTTGTGCAGAAAATGACAAAGATGTGAAGATCGAGCCCTGTGGCCACCTGATGTGCACTTCCTGCCTCACAGCATGGCAGGTACGGCATAATGTTCTCTTTCCGATTAGAAATGTCGGTCAGCTTGGCCTTCTGCTGTCTATACGCGAAGCTGCGACCCCGAGGCCTTCCCTCCTGTGCCTGCTGTGTCCTGGCACAGCTGTTTCTGACCTGGCAGAAGGGGGGTGTATGGGGTGTGCATCAGAGCCGTCAGATTTTGTACTGTGCCACGAGTGGGTTGGGGCCAGTCGGCCCGTGCTTTCATCCTGCGTATCTGTTGAACAAAGCCCGGGAGCCATGTTTCTGGTCTCACCTGGCGGCAGGGGATAGCTGATACAGGCTGTTCCCTTTCCCCCCTTTCTTTCGAGTGGTCCCATAAGGGACAGTCTTGGCTTGCATGTCGAATCACAGCCCCACTGAGCATGCTGCCATTGTAAGTTTCATGTAGTTGTCCTTCTCTTTCTTTCCTGCTGGGGATCGAGAGGTTCTTCCCAACAAGGGCCACGAATGCTTTGCGCTCTCGTTCACGCGTCTCCTTTTTTCCCTGCAGGAGTCAGAAGGGCAAGGCTGTCCATTCTGCCGCTGTGAAATTAAAGGCACAGAACCCATTGTCGTCGATCCATTTGATCCGAGAGGAGGGGGAGGCCTGCTTCGGCAGGGGGCCGAAGGGGCCCCTTCTCCAAACTACGATGATGATGACGACGACAGAGCTGATGAGTCACTCTTCATGATGAAAGAATTGGCTGGTTCAAAGGTAATTTAAAAACAACAACAACTTACTAGGAACTCAGAATGGTAGTGGTGGTGGTTTCTCCCAGGTGACCGGTGGCCTGTTCTAGCCTTGTATCACTTCAGAACGGTTACTGTTTCTTGTGCCTTCATCTTCCGGGATGGATAATGTGTTCTGGACTTGCCTAGCATTGCTCTTGGCTGTCAGTCTGCACTGCCTGGCCACTAACTATGCTCAGTTCCCCTTGGACTGTTTTTCATTGTGTCCTCCGTAGGTAGCTTTGCCTCTAAATGCTTTCTTGTACTTTTCCCAAAAATCTGGGTTCCTCTGAAGTTACCTGTTACTTCCCTCTTAAGCCTAAGTGTGGAGTTTGGTTTTCGTTTTGTTTTAATTTTTTGGTTCACGTAAGCATGGAGAGCAAGTCCACTGTTAGAGTATAGGATCTGTCCTTCATTAAAGCTCTTGTATGCTTATGTGATGTGGGAGAAGAGGACATTAACAGATTCGGTGACAGAGCAAAGCCCAGGGTACACGTTTGCTCTGTTTGCATTCCAGTTAGGAATGGGCAACTCTTCCCGTCTCACTTACTTCCACTTTCTGAATGGAGGTTCTTGCACATCCAGACTGCTAGCTGGGATTTTGGCTTAGGGTGGCAGAGTGTGACTCTGATGCCTGCTGCAGATCCAGTGCCTGTGTGGTGTAGCAGTTCCTGTATTCCTAACTGGTTCTTTTTGAGATGAGCTGTCAGGGCGACAGGAAAAATCAGAATATATGTTTTCAGTATAGTTGCATCAGCGTGTCCCCGACTTCAGTTCATTAAGGGATGACTCCGGTCCAGTGCAGCAGGAACCTTGTTATAGTGAGTTTTTAAGGGCTTCAGCTAAGGCGTCTTTGTCTTCTTTGCAGGTTGAACGTCCACCTTCTCCATTTTCCATGGCTCCGCAGGCGTCCCTCCCCCCAGTACCTCCACGGTTAGATCTTCTTCAGCAAAGAGTATCCAACCCACCGGGAGCGTCTAGTCCAGGGACCACTTCAAAGGTGCAAATTGACCTCTAAGGCTTAGCAGTCAGTCTTAAATCCCTAAAGGCCTCTCAGTCTTCTCTGTGGGGGTGGACGTGGGAAAGGACACAGTCTTCCAGAATGTGGTATTCCCCTTTTTTCCCCATGATGATTCCAGTCTTCTGAGTTGTGTGGAATCTCACTATATTTCATTATTTTGCAGACGACCCTCTGTTTTTTTTTTTTTTAAGGTACCCTTGGTATTTGTGTAGTTGCCAAATTATTAATCCAGAGGAAAATCAAACCAGGCGAAACTTCAGATCATCATCTTGATTGATGTTTGAAGTTCAGCCAGGGTACCACTTAGTCTTGCAGCTATGCTGATGGGAATAGAAAGCTTCTTAGCTGCATTCTGCCGGCCTTCTGAGACACCTTTTCTTGGCTTCCTGTTCCTTGATTCCTCCTGCAGCAACAGAATATTGAATTCTTCTGAAACAGCAGAATCCAAAACCTGACTTGGCTTGAATGGCTTCCTTTTTGTTCTTCTTTACTGTAGGCTGCCCCTGGTTCCCTTCACAAAGATAAACCTTTGCCGATCCCGCCAACCCATCGAGACCTTCCACCTCCTCCTCCTCCGGACAGGCCTCCTTCTATTGGGACCGACGGTCGGTCTCAGAGACGGCCGTTGCCGTGCACGCCAGGAGAGTGCCCTTCCAGAGACAAGCTGGTCCCTGTGCCCTGTAATCGCCAGGGGGAGCTTTGGCCATCGCGGCCAATGCCCAAAGCTCCCGCCGTAGCCTTAAGTCCTGGTGAGCCTTGGGCAAGTCGGGAACTGACGAACCGACATTCTCTGCCTTTCTCTCTGCCTTCCCAAATGGACACCAGAGCTGAGGCTCACCGGCATGGGAGTACGCTGAGCCTGGACAACACCATGGTAAGTGGCCTCACCCTAGCACAGTGGTCCCCAACCTTGGGCCTCCAGATGTTCTTGGACTTCAGCTCCCAGAAATCCTGGCCAGCAGAGGTGGTGGTGAAGGCTTCTGGGAGTTGTAGTCTAAGAACATCTGGGGACCACTGCCCTAGCAGGCTTCCTTCCTGAAAGACAGACACACACACACACACAGACACACACAGACACACACAGACACAGACACACAGACACAGACAGACAGAGCGGCCACCCTTCCCTACGGACGGCGGTTGGGGGCTTGTGGGCATCCTCACCGTGCATTTCTGTGGATGGGTGAAGGGTACGGGCTGGAGAGACCTTCGTCTGCTGTTTCGAAGGCCAAGAGGGCAAAACTGGTCGGCGTAGGCACGTGAAGTGGGGCAAGGTCTGCACTCTTTTACTCCACACAGGGAGCAAATCAGCATAGAGTTGATTGGCCAACAACATTGTACATGAAATGGTTCATTTCATTTGCTGTGAAACCTCTCTCAGGTCAGGACTAGGAAAGACAAGGGTCTTAGAGGAGGGGGAGAAAAAAAGCATATGAAGTTCACTTGTCCTCTGGAATCACAGGCAGACCCTCTCATTATCCTCTGTTTCTAGCATTGACCACCACCACCCTCCCAAGGACTTACAGCCCTGTGGATAGCATTTTCAACCCAGTAGGTTCAACTTTGCTCAGTATATGCCTCCTGGATTCACTGAGGTATCTTAGCAGCATTACTGTTAATTTCGTTTGCAAGCTTTCCCAGATCTCCAGCAAGTCCTGTAGCCTGTCTCACAAAGCCAGCTTCCTTGCTGCGTAGAAGCCCAGTGATGTCCCTGATAGATTCAGTGGAGGAGAAGAGCTTCCCTGGAGTGGGTACATTGGCCTCACCACCTGGGTTATAGGAGATTTCCACCAACAAGCACACCAGATAAATAGACAGCAAACATGTTTAAATGTTAGCTAGTTTCTCTTGCTGACATGCCATTCCTTGATGTGGCCAGCATTGGTGATGCCTAGAAGCACCTTCCAGCAGGAAAAAAACCCCATCAATGTACCTGTGGAAGAGGCCTCCGCTTTTCTGTTTCTTAAACTATTGGCCAGATGTGGAGTTTGACAGCTTCCTCCCTCCCCTTTCTTTTTGCAGAACCAACTTAGTGGACTTCCGCCTGGGTCAGACAGTGAACATTCAAAAATAAAGCCTTCTTCATCTGCCAATGCCATCTACTCTCTTGCCGTAAGGTATGATCCCTTGTAGAACCTTTGCTGATAGACCTTTGTCAGAACTGCGGCTAATGCAGGGTGACTTATGCGGTCCGCAGTGGGTGCACTTCGGTGGGTGCCTTCTTGCTCCTTGGATGGTGCTTGTCATTTACTGCGGTGATCACATGCACCTGATAGAGTAGACTATTTCACATTAAGCAGCTGATCTCTGTGTTTTCGCTAGTTTTCAAAAGGTTTAAAATTCCTGTGCTGTGTAATTAATGGGTATTATTAACGATTTGAGTTAATAATACCCATTACCCGTGCCAAGACCCCCCCCAAAGCTGTCTGTGCGTCTAAAGCATGGAGTGGGGGAGGGGTCAAGCAGAGCACCGCGGAGCTGCTGTTTTGATGGCCTTCTGCTTTCTCTTCCCTTCCGCTCGTAGGCCGTTGCTTGTGCCAAAGCTGCCTCCCGGAGAGCCCTCTGAAAATGAGGAAGACACGGAGTACATGTCCCCATCCTCCTTGCCCCTTGTGCCTCCTGGCTGTGCTGGACATAAACTGGAGGCCCGATTATCTTTGGACATGAGCCAGGGTTCACGGTGAGCCAAGACGCCCCTCCTTTGGGACAACCTGGGCACTCCATGTCAACCAGAGGGTGCCCTCTTACCGATGGTGTTCTTACCTTGCTTGATTTGTGTTTTGATGTCCCAAGGGTTTTGAGGGGATGCAGGGGCATTTAAGAACAGGAACAAATGACCTTAGAAATCATCTTATCGTGTACTTTAAAATTAAGTGAACCCAGGTGTTGAAAGACAGACCTGCAAGATTATTTCTTGGCTGCTTTGTAGCTTGAGCGTCATTTTGTGTATTCCCTTTAGAGGCAGGCAAGCCCCTCTGTGAAGGCCAAATGCTTGAATATGACACGGACCGTTGTAGTGTGTTTCCTCGAAAAATAAGATGGGGTCTTATATTAATTTTTGCTCCCAAAAACGTGTTAGGGCTTATTTTCAGAGGATGTTTTATTTTACAGTTAATGTCATCTTCTGGTTGCTGAACAATGCTGCACAAAGGTGGAGGACGGGGGGTTCACTTAACTGGGGCTTATTTTGGGGGGTAGGGCTTATATTATGAGCATCCTGAAAAATCCTACTAGGGCTTCTTTTCAGGGAAACAGCCAACAGATGCTGAAAGACTGCTGTAGTGTGTACGACCAGAAGAGCCTCATTTTCTTAGGCAGTTTTCAGGGTGCTGCCAGCATTTGTTTGCAATGTGCCCCCCCCCCAGCAAAAGAGGATGCAACTGAGGTCCTGCAGCAAACGAGACCCCCTTTCTCTTTGTTCAGAGGACTGGAGTGTGACCAGGAAATAGATGGGTGCACCTATGAATCGATGTTCAACATCCACTCGCAGGCAGCATCATCAGGCTTTGAGGCTGCGAGTGTTTCTGGTAAGTTTTTTGGAGAGGAAGCCTTGCAGGACAGCCAGGAGGAAATTGAAAGACTGGTGTTCTGCCAAGCTATTACTTTGGCCTTAAAGGATCTGTGCTCCCCACCACCACTGTGGGAATAAAGAAGGCAGTAAAAGTAGCCTGATGTGAAATGGGACAGGAGGAAAGGTTATTCAGATACATTCAGAACAGTTTGGGATTATTTTTTTTGAAAAGGGGAAAAAAGGACAGGATTTTTAACGTATTTTTGAGAGATCTTAGTCCTGCATATCTGAGGCAGAATGTGTGGGTAGTTCTTTAAAGTCAGGGCAAGTGTTCAGATTCTGGGGTTTGGGGCAGGATGCTGCTGCTTTGCAGGCCTGGCTGTACCATGGAGGGGTTGCTGGTCTGTGACCGAGCCAGCGGTGAAGTGAGAACAGCAGATCAGAACAAGGGGGACCTTTTTTGGACCAAGAAGAGCAAAGCAGCAGTCGGACCCGCAGCCTTGCCTTTACCCATGTTGCTAATGGTTTGCACAAAAGCATTTGTAACCGTTAGCATTTTGGTATGAGATAGTAAAATACAATATTCTTATCCTGAATATGCTGTGCCGGCCAGCGAGACCATATTACATGAACCATAGCCAGACCACCTATTGTTTCCTCAGTCCTTTGGTCCTTATGTGTGTCCCCTCCAGGGGTCGATTTCAGTGTAGGAACGTCTCTGTGTTAAAGAAGAGCACAGCTTCTCTTTGGATGAGGGCTGGCCTTGCTGTTAGGAAAAACGAGGCTTCTGCTTCTGGGCAGCAGGTTTTCATAAAAAAGACAACAAATTGTTAATGGTTTTTTTTTTTTATTTTTTGTAGACTCCTTGCCAAGGATAGGGATTTTTCTCTTTTTTTGCTCTAGAATTTTCAGTCTCACATTTCTGAATTGTTTGGTCACCCCCACATACTATGTAGCTTGACATAAGACAGTTTGTGTGTATTTTAGGGTGGGGATACTGACTTTTTTTCCTGCAAGAAAACAAATGTGTTGTTTTTTTTCCTTTCACAGAATTGTCATTTGGAAAGGTTTTGCTATTCATTGCACCATTAACTGATGTGCAATTTCACCGGTTTGAGGTTTTGGCTGTCAAATGTTTCCCCCTGGAACATGTTCCCTAGAAATGTACCTGCAGGTCAGAGGGCGGTAGCTAACAGCGTGCTCCTCATTCATGTCTGTTCTTTCTAAGAGGGTGGTGATGCAGCTGCTGCTGGCAAGGCCGCCAATGGGCCCGAAGAATCAGAGAATGAAGAGGATGGTTATGATGTCCCCCGACCTGCCAGCCATGCAACCGTGGCGCGCCGTACGCTCTCTGACATCTCAAACGCAACCTCTGCCTTCGGCCGGGCCTCTCTAGATGGCGATGTTCTAACAGGTGCGTCATGCTGGCCCTTGAGGTTTTGCAGTGTGGGAGAGGGTGCATGTGGCGTTTCTCCGTCGTAGGCACACTTTCATTACCCGTAAAGAGCATAAGCAGGAATATACAGTGTGGCTGGCCAGCTGTTCTCAGCCTTTTGCCAAGGGGACTTTGCATTGAGCTTTGACATGGCCGTTCTGTGGATCCTGACTCCTGAACTGCCAGGAGAAAGATCTGTAGCCTTTTCTTCTCTGGAATGGATGCTGAGCAATGCTCTCACACATGCTTCCCCTTCTCTGGCAAGTGATGTGGTTTTGAGTTGTTCCTTTTTCTTCTGAAGTGTGCATTTCTCAGAAGCCCAGAGAGCCTGAGGCTGACTTCTGCTTCCTACCAGCGTACCCTAAAGTCCCCATTTTAAACAATAAGCCACAAAACTACCTCTTGCTGGCGCCACGAGGGCCACTGAAGGGGAGACCAAGAGTTGACTTCCACTACTGCACAGCAGGCTAGGGCTTTTAGTGTTGGACAGAGTAAGAATCTGAAAAGTTGTGTGACTCCAGCAAACATGTGTGCCTTTATAGCAGACCATGTGCGAAATGCACACAGCCCCCATTCCTCTCTTTTGTGCCCCTGTTCTGTTGAAGAACTGGCAACACCCAAATCGCAGTGTTTTTCTCTTCCTCCCCCCCCCATTCCTGTTGCTTCAGGAAGAGAGGTACATCCTCCACTCTCTGATTCCTCAGAAGCTCTGTCGTACAGGAGGGCACCTTCACACCCCTGTGCTTCATGGAAAACTGCTTGTCATTGGTGCTGCTGAATCTTGGCCATGATAGGAAAAACCCCTTGGCTGTGTATTCTCTGTATTCTGCTTTAGCCTCTGCTCCCCAGGAGTTCCCAACTCCCGTCTTACATGCTGTCAAGTTGATTCCGACTCACGGCAACCTTCCCAAGGTTTTCTAGGCAAACCATACTCATACTTCCTTCTGGTGGCACTCTGGGACTGTGAGTCTTCCAGTAGTGTTTATGGGATGCTGTGGTGAAGAACCACAACTTTGAAGTGTGAGAGTCTTGGAAAAGAAGTCTGCGCTAGGCTTGGATTCCTCTCTGTTCCTAAATGTTTGTGCCGTTCCGCGAGACGATGTGGCCCTTTCTTTTCCAGGTTTCTCTGACGGCTCCCGAGAGGTTCCAGAGAGGCCCCCCAAACCCTTGCCTCGGCGGATTAACTCTGAGCGGAAGGCGGGCAGTTGCTTGCAAGGCAGTGGGGCAGGGCTGGTCTCTGCCGGCAACCCCCAGCTCTCCAGCGAGATCGAGAACCTCATGAGCCAAGGCTACTCATATCAGGACATTCAGAAGGCGCTTGTCATTGCCCATAACAATATTGACATGGCCAAAAATATTCTCCGGGAGTTTGTCGCCATTTCCTCCCCGGCCCACGTGGCCACATAGCACATCCGCTGGCCCTGCCTGGGAAGACCCCCCCTTGTGCATCAAGCTCCCTGGGCACTCCTACTGCCCGGCTTCTACGTAGAGGAGATGGTGGGCACCTTGAGAGACTTCGGGAGAAGTCAGCCTCTGCCTCTGCAGAGAATCGGTCATCAGGGTTTTGCGCGATTCCAGGTTTCGAAGTGAGTGGGATGAAACGGAGCCAAGCGGTGTGTCCGACAGTCTGTGCGCCTTTTGGGAGTCAAACCCACCCTCCGCCCCCGTTTGTCCCCACCCCACCTCCTCTTCCTGTCCTGCACTTTCTAGTTTGAGAGAACAAATAAGTTGCTTTGGATAGATACCTCTGGTTTCCTGTTGCTGGTGGACAAGGAAGGGGCGGAGAGAGAGGACTTTGTGCTGTGAATTCAGAATGGATGCCCGTGTGTTGAAGGGCATCTCCCCATGGCTTGTATTGCGCCCTCTGTGGTTCAGGGTACCCGATTTGGGCCTCTTTGCTGCTGTGTGTTTTGGTTCAGGCTTTTGAGACCACCTGCTACTGGGTACAGATTTCTTGACTAAGGAAGAGGTGCTGACAGCTTCCTTCTGCTGTAACAGCTCCTCCTGTTCTCTTCCACATGCTGCTTGCTCCCTTCTGCCTTTGCAGGAACGTTCAGCTCCTAACGGTGCTGTTGGGCACCCCGTGGCCAACATTGCTTGCCACACACACTGGATCCTGAGGCACTGTAGATGCTGGACTTCTGGAGGGTTGCTGGGGAGTCAGCTGAATGCCGCGCTTCCTAGCCCTGAGCCTTCTGCCCTGAAGGTGCTTTACTGTAATCCATACAGTTAAAGATTTGGAGCAGCTTTCTTTCAACACCTGTGTTCCTGTTGCTGGTTGACATGATACCAGGAGCCTCAGGAGTGTTTGAAGGCCTCCTGTCATTGCCTGGGCTCCATCTTCCCAACGGGGCGGCCTCTGTAAGATGGCATTTAGCCACGTTCCGTGATACTTCTTGATTTGTGTAAGAAAGGGCGTTCAGTTTTGGTGTAAATGTCTTACCACTGAACAGTAAAAATGCAACAACTTCATCCACAGCTTTTATCAAATGATGTGAAAGACGAGGGCCTCCTTTCTCCTCACTTGTCCCATCGCTGAGAAGGAGTTTAGATCCTCTGACAGACTAAAAGTTGGCAGAAATTCTGTAGGGGATAAAAAAGAGATCAGTAAGGTGCTGATTTAATGACACCGTTGTTTACTTTTCAAGCACTTGCTGCTCGTGGCAGGAGTCCTAGAGAAAGATGCCTTTGAGCCTCAAGAAGCAACCCAGCGGACAAGACAGCGGGCAGAGGACTTTTCTCTCTCTCCGTCATCCCCTTCCTGAGTTTTCAGTGCAGGCTAGACAAACAGGATTAGCCGCAACGTGAAGATTTATCTCTTGAAATGTGTTGCATTTTTGGTGTTTCCCTGTGGTCGCTTGCCCGTTTAAATACTTCCCCTGGTTCCTATGCTTGCCATCAGAATGGTGGCTTTTTTTCCTCCAGAAGAGGATGCTACAGTCACCATCTCTGTTTGGGTGGGTTCTCTCCAGACTGCCAGCCACGGGGCCTTGGGTCCCTGGGAAATAATTGCCGAGGATGCCAGAGGGGACGCCCCCCCCTTTTTTTTTGGTAAGGACACCATCCATGGCATCCAGCAGGATTGGGAACACAATATTTGTGCTAAAGCTGAGCCACTGGTTTTACCCTCTGCAGCCCCACTCAAGCCTTTTGCTTCCCAGTTTTCGGGTGCCAACACCTCACAGTGACCCCAGAAGCCCATTCCATGGGATACGACAAGAGCGGCATCAGCCCATCTCTTGGCTTTCACATGAAACCCTGAAGATTTCTGTAACCTTGCCAGCCTCTGCCAGCATGTGTCTTACTGTTCTTGGCATTCCTGGTGGCATTTCGGAAGAAGGGAATGAAGATCTTCTGAAGACAACGGCAGGGTAACAAGTTGTGGTTGGGCAGATTTTAAAGAACTGAGTGGGCTGCGCATTTCAGTTGAGACTCTCCTGGGATTCTCCTGCCTGCAGTTTCTCCCCGAAGCATCTGCTAGCTCCTTGTTGAGTTGGGGACCAGTTTGCAATTGACTTCAGCCTTGGTGAAGTTAGATTTTCCTATTCAGCTGCTGGTTGCAGCATGGGGGGGGGGGAGAAATTCATGAGCAGCCAGTCTTGATGGCTTAGCTAGCCCACGAATGCACCCTCCTTGGGGCAAGGCAGCCACAGCACCACCAATAGGCCTCTTTGGACGGACCTCTTGCTGGGCGCTCTGAATGGCCAACCTTGTTCTGGAAGCCCTTTCTGGGGTTGGCAACCACCCCGCAGGCGAGAGAGCTGCTTGGGGGGTGGGTGGGCGTTGTCGCAGCAGGTGTACCTACCAGCCTCCTTTGCATGTGCCCTTCTTGTCCACATCTTGTGTCTTATACTTGCCTGACGAAGCTTGTCGAGCGGCTCTTTCTCCTCGGACCACATGAATGTCGTTGTTTGCAAGCACAAGGAAAGCTGAACCGTAGCGCTTCCTGAGCTGTGATCCCGGCTGCTTCGTTAAAAATGGACTGCATTACACTCCCCTGCCCGCCCGCCCCCTCCCGGGTCTTTCGATCTGAAAAAGGTGGACTTTTCCTCAGACCCAAATGTCTAGTGCCTTTGATAGGGGAGTCTGAAGAAGAGACGGATCGAAGACGTGGCCCCCTTGGGAAAGCCGTGGCATTGCTCCTGATCCGCAGCTGCTTGGGGGGAGGAATCCAACCCAAGGTGGTGCAACGGCGCGCAGCCCCAGCAAGCCATTCCCCCCCCCCCAGCTTTGCTGTTGGGGCAAGGGTGCCCTTAGCCACCTGGGCGGGATGGGCAGGCAGGGCAGCTCTGATGGGTAGGGTTTTTAACAAGCCATGGGATGGGACGGCGTGTCGGAGGAACCAGACCCCCCCCCAACGGCCCCTGCTCCCCGCACTGAAACAGGACGTGGTGGCCTCTTGACTGGAAGCAGACGGCATCTCGTCTTTGGGAGCGCTTCCTGCAAGTGCGCTGGGGACCGAGGCCAGGCCGCCAGGATCTCTTCTCTCATCCGGTGGGTTGTACCCTTCCAGTACTAACTTGCTCAGTGCCTGTTCGGTTTAGGCAACGGCTGCCTCCCTGTGTCTTCAACAGCGGCTGCTGCATTTGCAGGATTCCCATGTGGCTTTATGAAGGTTGCCCTTCCTGCAGCCGATTTGGGGGCTGTGGGATTGGCCACGGGTGGATGTTTTAACCCCACCAGGGAAGCACTGCTGTTCTTGTGACTAAAACTGCAAGAGGGAGGGGAAATAGGAAAAGCGAAATGCTAAATTTATGTTACCTTCATTGGGTGAGAGAGGGGTTAATAGTTCTGTTTCTCCTGAAGGTTGAGAACCAATTTTAATATCAGTGTTTAAATAAAAATCAGATTTTCACTGACTATTTTAAAATTATGTCATTAATATAAAAAAAAATATTAGCAGTATTTAATCCTATCGGGCCTGTAAAGAATAAGAACAGAAGGTAAATATTCTTACAGAGTAGCTGAGCTTTAAGGTTCATTTGGTCTAAAGTCTTCATTTTGTTCTTTAAAGGCATTGTTAATGTTTTAGAGGTTATAACTAATGTTATTTATTTTTCATTCTTGTAAGCCGCCCACTAAAGAACTTGTGGGGGACAGGTGGGTGGGGAGTATTTAGGGTATTCCATGTGTGTCTGTAAAAGGAAAAAACAAAAACAAAGTTTTATTTTTAAATAAATTTCTTTGTTGTAGCATATTGCTCGTTGTGTCCGCTTTAAGGGGAGCTGGCCAACAGTAGTTTGTGCATTACAATTGTGGGTCTGTGTGCAAACTATAGGAATTAAACTGGGTTTTGGTGTTCGAGAACCCAGGAATCCACCACCAAAGAAAAACGGGTCAATACATGTGGGGCTTTCCCCGAGATCCCCCAAGGCTGCACCACAGATTTCCTACATGAGACCTCACTGGTCACAAGAAACCTGCTCTTCTGGGTGAGGGGGTTTAAAACTAAAGATCTTGCAGTTCTATTGTCCCAGTTCCTCTTCATGAAGGTCCCACCAGTGAAGAGCTAAGTCATGGTATTTTTAACTTTTTATTTTTCATATATTTATAATATATATATATATAAACCCTGCAACTCAGACACTCTTAAATTTACACACACATCAACAAAAATATATATATATATAACAAAAGCTTTGTTTTTGATAACCTTGTAGCTTACAAGTAAAGCGCAACACCCCTTTTTGGTTAACGAGTTTGCTTTTTTTCAACCGTGACAAAAACAAATGTAGGAAAGCAAATTTTTAACCAACTTTGCCCACCCTTCTAGGTTCTGTGCTCAAAATCAGGTGCCTGCAATGGACAGTATTTAAGGCCTGGTGCCCATTTTGAACTTGGGGAATAAGGAAAGAAAGAGGGGCATGACATTTCTTTCTTTCGGAGGGAACCTCCCACTTCCAGGCAAAGATTTGGAAAACAAAAAGCGTTAACCGTGTCATTTTGATGCCTGAGCAATTGTACGGTACGGAAAGAATGCCAACCCTCCCGTTACATTTTTGAAACTTGTTGCTGCCCCCCCTCCTTTGTATTTATTGTCCTCTGACTACCGAAGCAGAGGTGCCCAACTCTAAGAGGAAGGGGTGATAGAAATTATTACACCTAACGCAGTCGCCCGTGCCCCGTTAGACGGCTTCTTGAAGGACTCACAAGTGCTTCATCTAGGTAAGGGACCTTAGGAGCCTTGGCAGAGTTGAGGAGAGGGAAAAAAATTAAGTTCTCGGGTAGAAATATGTGACTATACAGTTTTATACAAAAAAAGAAAGGGGGGGGAACCCTGTCCTTCAGTGTCTTGCCTACTCCCGGCCACTCCCAAGCCCCCAGGCCTTCTACATCGTGTGTACTTCTTTAGAACCGTGTCTATGAGGAACCGGAACAGTTTGGGAAGTCTTCGACCCTGAGCGAGCCCAGGGCCAAACTTTAAGGAAAATCAACCCCTTCTTGCGCCATTCTCCAGCCCTGCACCTGTTGGCGGGAGTCTTGGGGAGGAATGAAACGGTTCAGTTCCAACGAGCCTTGCTTGGCAATTGCTTCGGTGGCTATGCGGGTCTTTGGCCCTTCTCTCTTGAATGGACTGTTTGGGGGGTGGAAAAAAAACACCTTTATTGTACAGTAGAGCCAAAGTTTTGCAACTGGATGCTCGGAAGCAAGTCTTCCCTCCTTTTCGGTCAGTCTGTGAGAAGCAAAGAAGCGCCAGTCTGTTTCATCTAGTCTTTTTGTCCTTCAGAGCTCGCCGGGCGGGTGGTGGAGGATCCTTTGCCACCGAGCTTCGTCTCTCATGGGTTCGTAAGGCGCTGGCCGTGGGAGCAGGGGAGGGAGGGCGTTTCGAGGGCAGGAGGAATCTTAAAGAAAGATGTGTGGCTGGCTTGTCCTCTCAGTTCCTCAGATTGATGTATTCCTCTCCCTTGGAAAGATGGGAAATATAAAAATGATCAAAGTTGTAATTACACGGCGGCGCTCTGAGAAACCAGCACAACTCCCACTGCCCAGTCAGTCTCATGGTCCGTCTCCCCCCCCTGCCCGCCATCATTAATATAGAAAGGTCATCAAGGTAAATTCTTGCAGCCGTTCTGTGAATGTGAGTGAGCGAAAATTCTTGGAAGCACAGCAAAGCACACACCCCAATGATTTTCCACATGGGAGTCGGAGGATTCCTCTCGCAAGATCATGGCGGGCGAGTCAGGCCTTGCCACAGCAGTTGAAGAGGGGCACCGAAGAGCCGCCAAGGGGTGGGAGCTCATGATGTGCCCACCAGTAGACTCCAGATGGTGCACAGCAAGGGCTCAGCAGCATGCTGGCGTGACCAGTGGAGACAATGTATTGGGTGTGTGTGTGTGCCAGTGGGCAGCTGTCTGGTTTGCCAGTGAGGAGGGACATGTCTGCAGCATTTGTCTTGGGCAGCTCTGTGCCCCAAGGCTGTTAAGAGCCCACCCCCCAACAGCCACGGCAAAGGTATGTGGGAACAGCGAGGCGTTGCATGCCCTTTGTCCTCCTGTTTTTGCAGTCTGAGAACTGCGAACCTTAGGGACCCTCCCAGGCACCAGTCCCAAACGAGGGTCCCTCTGGCCTGGTGGCTGAAATGGAGGTGGGGGGGGGACAGGACCAGAAACCGCCAGGCTGCGGCCACCTGGTTCCTTCCCTGGGGTTCTGGAGAGGCATCAGGAGCTGGACGGAAGGATCCAGATACAATGCATCCCAGAGGAACGTAGTGAGGTGGAGTCCCCACGTCACAATTTGGAGGGGGCACAGCCAACTGAAAACACAGCCACGTCGGGGGCCCCTGGCCATTTGGTTGGCCTTACCTGGTCACCTGTGGACTTCTTCTCCCCGTTGGCACCTTGCAGGAGCCCCGCCTCTTCGGGAGCTTTATCTGACTTGACTTCAACTACAATCTCATCTTTGTGCGCGTCGGGCCTCGTGCTAGGGAGGAAGGAGGACAAGAGTGTGAATGCATCCAAAAGCTGGCCGGCTGAGACACAAAACGGGGAGTCGGTCGGTGGTAGTTCCAGAAGGCCAGGATCCGGCTGGACAGCAAAGACAGGGGAAGTGCTTGGGGGGGGGACCAGCAACCCCTTCTCAACAAGTCACTGGCTCTATCCAGCATACGTGGGCAGCCAGGGGTGCGATTCAATGATGAGGGCCGATTTGCTGCTCTTTATGCTGCATCTCCCTTTCACGGATGGCTGCCTTGTCGTGGTGAAGGGGCTTGAGTAATTCAGGGAAGCTATGGGCTATGCCGTGCATGGATGCCCAAGACGGATAAGTCATAGTGTAGAGTTCTGACTCAATGCGATCCACCTGGAGCAGGAACCGCCGAAAAATTGATGCTTTCCAATTGTGGTGCTGGAGGAGACTCTTGAGAGTCCCCTGGACTGCAAGGAGAACAAACCTATCCGTTCTGAGGGAAATCAACCCTGAGTGCTCACTGGGAGGACAGATCCTGAAGCAGAGGCTCCAATCCTTTACCCATCTCATGAGAAGAGAAAACTCCCTAGAAAAGACCTTAACGTTGGGAAAGTGAGGGCAAGAGGAGAAGGGGGCGACAGAGGATGAGATGGTTGGACAGGGTCATCCTAGCAACCAACATGAATTTGACACAACTCCGGGAAGCAGTGAAAGACAGGAGGGCCTGGCGTGCTCTGGTCCATGGGGTCACAAAGAGGCGGACACGACTTAACGACTAAACAACAACAAATGCTGCATTTACTTATGCAGTGACTGGTAGCTAGTTACCCTTTGGGGTAATGAGGGTGTAACAATGTTACGTTTCAGGAGAAGACACTTTATTGGAATAATTAGCAATTTTTTCTGTCTTTCACTTATAAGAGGTGTTTGTACACGCTACCCACCACTAACCATCTTGGGAATTGTGACCCACCTCTGGTCACAGGCATTCCAGCTGTGGTTCCAGCTGGAATGTGTCCCTGTACGGTGTTACGCAACCTAGCAGGAGAAAACAACCAAAGCCCCCCCCCCCCCGGTCCCTTTCCACCGTCCCAAATCAGGAGAAGCCAGCTCGCTTGGTGCAACACTGATGGGGAAGTGTGTGAATGACAGGCAAGGAGTGGGAAAGGGAAAGGAGAAGGCTTGATGGTTGTTGTGCGTTTTCTGGGCTGTTTGGCCGTGTTCTTAAGGTTTTTCTTCCTAACGTTTCACCAGGAAGAAAAACCTTAAGAACATGGCAAAACAGCCCGGAAAACCCACAACCACCATCAGATCCCCGGCCGTGAAAGCCTTCAAGAATACGGAGAAGGCTTGCTTACATCTCTTGCTTCCCGGACCGTCCGCAAGCAAGCTTCCCTTTCTTGTGCAAGAAGTAAAGGACGGCCCCGAGGATGGACACCACCATGATGCACACAATGACAGCCACGATGATGACCCCATTGCTCTCCTTTGGTTCTATGCAGGGAGACAAAAAGAAACAGAATCACTTTTCCGAAACCTGGAAAAGAGCTTTCAAAACTCCCCTCGGCTTTCTCCCAAAGCTTAGCCTGAGGCCGCCAGTTGAAATTAATATCACCAGCCCTTGGAAGTGGGTCTAGAGGGCAACAAGTTCTGTTTTGGAAGGTGTTAAAACTCCTTGCTCCCAATGGGTTCCCCTTTGCAGTCACCAAGCACTTCTTGCTACCGGGGGCTGCTTTGGCAAGAACGGCCATCCTTGGGAGGAAGCCGGAGAGGAAGGGAAGGCGTTTCACAAGAGGCCCAAGGAGGCATTGGCCAACTGAAAGAGCCACTCCCGGGAGTTGCAGTGACGTGAGGAGTGGCAGCACAGGGGGGAGGCATCCATTCAACAGCATAAACACTGCAGAAGACGTTGGAGGGTGCAGAGAGTCTCGGTCTATGGGCACCCTGCAACAAAGGTGACCCCGATCCATTACACCCGAGGACTGGATCTGCTGCTTTCTCCGCCATATTGCCTGCCACACTTCCCAAAGTGACAAAAAGCCACAGAAGAGGGCATTCAAATTCAGCTTCTATTCTTTTTTTTTTTCAATTCCTTGATTTTTTTAAAAAAGCAAGTTCCTAGTCCTCATGGTTGTGAAGCATGGGGGTCTAAGCTCCAGCTGAACCCCCAGGAGCTGAATGGGCACCCTGGCGGCTCTCCCAGGTTGATAAAATAAAAATAGTGCCAAGGAAGAACAACACATGCAGGTTTGCAGAGCAGTTCTTACTGCAAGGTCATTGTCTTGGAGCAAAACTAAGCACTTGTTCTTTTTTTTTAAAAAAAACTTCATAAATAATGCCTTTTGGGTTTGGACTGCCAGTTTGTTTTGCGGTGTGATAAGGGGCGGCTCAAACAAGCGCTGGTGCGAGGGATCAGGAGAGACCGGCTTGTCGTGGGCTGCCCCTTACCAACGGGTCAAAGCTGCTCCAGCGAAAGTAAAAGGAATGGGTTTTCTCTGGATTATTTCCAACTGTACCTTCCTCCCCTTCTCCGGGAGTTTGGGGAGGTGTGGTCTGGTTGTACCCATACCCTTGAGTATCATTTCCTGGCCAGGTGAAATTAGAGGAAACATCTGGAGGTGGCCCAGTTGGGGTGGGAGTGAGAACATCTGGAGATGGCCCCGTTGGGGTGGGAGTGAGAACATCTGGAGGTGGCCCAGTTGGTGTGGGAGTGAGGGAAAATGAAGATGGTTCTGGCGAGGTCGGAGCAGGAGAGACATCTAGAGAGCAGCAGATGGAGAACGGAGCCACCGTTAGGATGATGGTAGGAAAACCTGGCTTCTCAAGCAGCCGCGGGCTTCTCAGAATGCAAGAACAGGGGTGCTGGGCCAGACTCCAAAGGTTATCAAGTTCAGCATCCTGTCTGATGACGGACAACCGGATGCCCATGGACAGACAGCAGGCAAAACCCCAGTAGCCCTCTTCCAAGCTCAGTCCCTGGCAACTGGTATTGGGAGGAACAGGGTGGCTGCGGCTGTAATCCTAAGAGGTCCTCCAGACAGCCTGCCAATGGCCCCATCACCTGCATGACAACAGCTGGGAGGAGCCCCTCCTTTCCTCTGCCGTTCCTGAAGCAGCGGTTTTTAAAAGAAAGGGTCGAGTTCTATAAATATGCCCTGCTTAAGGGTGCGCTGGTTAGAACCTGTTGCAGGACTTCTGAAATATGGGATCAGGAAGCCCAACAGCGTAGCTTGGCGAGTTTGGGAGTTCGATTCCCACCACGGGGCCTCTTTGGGAGAAGAGCCAGCCTGGGTGGCCTTGGGCCAGCTGGGCAATCGCCCCAGGGATCCCACCCAGAAACAGGGAAGGCGAAACTGCTTCTCAGTAATCTCTACATGGAAAACCCTGGAAAAGGGTCACAGGAAGTCAGAATAGATCTGAGAGCGCAGCAAAAAAGAGAAGCTAAGGGAGATATTTCAGGGAGGGCTGGCAAGCTGTTTTTAGAATGTTTTGAGCAGGGCTTCAAAAGGCCGAACGAAGTCTGAAGTCTGGCTTTATAGCTTATTCATATTCTGATTGAATAGATTATGCAAGAAAAATGTATCTCTCTCTTTTTTTAAAGGTATGCATATTCTCCTGTTAAAGTGAGCGTCGCTGCAGCCTGAAATAATCATAACCGCATTACCTGGATCCGTGGTGGTTCCATTCCATGAAAAGACATAAACAAGAGTCCTGGAAGTTCACATCAAATGTTACCTTGTCCCCAAAGCGTTCATCCGCTGAGCCACAGACTGTCTTTAAATGAAGCTTTTGGCCGGGGAGGGGGCTGGGCCAAGATCCACTCTGGGAATCCCCTCTGAGCTCCACCCTGGGGTACTGGGGGTCTGGCCGCATTCTGGCCCCCTCTTGCTTCGGTCACTGCAGCGCTCTCTCCCGGGGGATCATTGCCCTCCCACCCTTCAAGGTGACACGGCCAGCTAGCGAGGAACCCCTCTTGGCAACCAGGATCCCAGCTCTGAAAAAACGGCACCGGCTGCCCATAAGGCTTCCAGGCTGTGGAGAAGAACTTTTCAAGCAACCAAACAGCTTGGGACCTAAATCTCTGAGTTGCCTTTTTTCTCACCCACCCCTGCCAGCCTCACTATTAAGGTCCCCCCACAGGGTAGCCCTTCTCAGTGCCCCACCCCTGAGACTTGCACCTGGATGTGGCCAGAGGGAGGAAGGCTCCCTTAGAGGGGGGGCACCTCCTCTTGGATGCCCGACGGGCACCGACTATGCCTTCTTTTTAATGTGGTGCCAGGCTGAAGCCCCGTCGCGCATGCCAGAGTTCAGCTATTAGTTCTGGTGCAAACCCTCCAGTCTCCGTTTTCAGTATTAAACGTTGCACATATCCATTTCTTGCATGCCTTGCTTTTCTTCTCTGACAAGCACAGGATGGGCCGGGGGGGGGGAGTTTCTTACCAGGCCCCCTCTCTTCCAGGTGCCAATTAAGCTTGCCTCTCCTGAGTTTGGAGCAGGTGGGTCCACGGGACCGTGTGGGGAGACATGCACACGATCCAGCTTTATTCTGGGCCCCCCACCCTCAGGTCCTTTTCTCTGGAGGGCCCCCTCCAAACCCCCCAAGGTGCCCCACACCGTATTCAGAACGAGGGGAGAAACTCACTGAGCATCTCGTCAGAGTCCGGGACTCCAGGTTTGGTGGCTGCTGGCCCTTTAGAGGAAAGAAAGAGAAAGCGGCCATGAAGCAGAACGGTGTCTTTCTTGCGCTCCTCACCCCCCCCAAAGGGACCGTGAGGCTTCAAGGCAAGCAGAGAGAGACTAGTCCACAGGAATTTGACGTTGCAGATCAAGGCACACGCGTCGCGTTATTGTTCAGGATTTGAACCACATGCTGGTTTCCCTTCTGCAAACTGGAAAGAACGCCAACGGTCCCCTCAAAGCGATTATCAAGGATGTACTGACCCCCGATGCTGAAATGTTTCGGCCAGCATCCTCTTGCAGAAGGATAACCGCGTAAGTTCCCTCTTGCCTCAGACCACCTACCAGCTCCCCCCCACCGCCTGCCTGTTTGCACGACTGCTCTTGCAACCAGCGAGGGAGGACACAGGCGTGTGAGGGAGACCCCGTCGGGAGGCGAGCACCCTCCCCCTCTCCCGCTGTCTGTTTCTGAAACAGGATACCAGCCTTCATGGGACAGAGAAATGGAATTCTGTTGTCCCCCATTAATGAAACGAGTCAAGCAACTCTGCAAGAAAGCCAGACTCTCTGAGTAAGTTCTTTGAGAAGCAACGTGGCAGGAGAGGGACCTGCCCCAACCCGGACCCCCCAACTCCGCTGCTTTTGCCCCCCCACCTGCAGTCATTGGAGGAGGGAGCCCAGGCCAGGGAGCTCATGGGGTGAGCTTCAGCCGGGAGTCCCCCGTGGCCCAAGACAGCTGTCGGTCGCTCTCAGCGCCTGGACATGTCACTTTGTCCTTCTCCGAGAGGATCGTGCCCTTTAAAGGCGCCACCCCAAACTAAGGGACCAGGATGGGTTACGGGGGACGAGTGGGAAACGGTTAGTAGAATTTATTGGACTCGCTGTTAAAAGAGGTTGCCATCTGCCTGTCCTAGCTTCTCCCCGAAAAGCATGCAAGGCACACACCCCGCGACAGCCCATTCTTGGTCCGAAAGGAAGGGACTCACTCAATTCCAGCATGAATTGGTGCTCGGTGGTGCCCAGCTTGTTTTCGGCCGAACAGTTGATCCCCGATGCCAGGATGGCTTCCGTGACCTGGATCGAGATGGTGCTGTTATGCTGGTGATTCCGGGATGAAAGCGGGTGACTCTGTAGGTAGGAAAGAAAGAAATCATGGGGGGGGGGGATGAGGAGAACTTTTAACGAGGTCCCCCTCAGAGCCCTCGCCTGGGGGGTTTGGTTAAACAGGAAGCCCGGCTGGTACAAGGCTGTGGATCCCTGAGCAGATGGAGGGTGAAGCCAACCAACAGGTTTAGCGCATACGGATAATGGCACTCGTTCGGCTGGCAAAAGACATCCGCCTGACACGGCACACAGTTTTCCTCACTTCCGTATCTTGCAGTTGGTGTGCTTGCTTGTGAAAAGGGGGAGACAGCTTTCAAAAATACACGGATAGATGAGCTACAGTCTAATTATAGCCACCCTTATTACGCAGGACAAACGAGGAGGAAGGGGACAATCACCGTCGCCAAGTTTAAGAAGCATCTGAACATACGTTCTTACCACAGACCCTGAAAGCTTGAGGGCGACAACAGTCGTACGATTTTGTACTCATGGAGGGAAGGGTGAGGGGTGAGGAAGAGGATGGAAGCAGGGAGTTGCAGATGAAGTAAAGCTTGACCGTGCACCACGGCCCTTTCAAATTTACCATTTTTCTTTGAAACTCTTGGGGGGGGGCACGGTCTCCTGATCCAGCAGCTGCCCACCCACCCAGCCTAACATACCGTCACATTTTTGGCACTCCAGAAGAATTTCGGCTTTTGGACAGAGAAGACGCTGCAGGTCAAGTTCAGCACTTCGCCCTCCTTGACGTACACCACCCCCTCCGGCGTGGTCAGCTTCGGCTTTGCTGCAAGGGAAAGCGAGAGTCGCGTTGCTGCTTGGCGCTCCGGGGGGCGGGGGAAGGGGGCCGCGGTGGGGAAAGCCACCCTCAAGTTCTGCTTACAGTGAATGACGACAGAAGCCACCTTGGAGCGGGAAAGGCCGGGGACCTCGGGCATCGTGACCCGGCAGGTGTACTCCCCCATGTCCTGGTAGGTCACCTTGGTGAGTTTCAGTAGATGATCCGTTGAAATCCCCTCTCCCTTCTGCAAAAGGAAAACCGAGGGGGAGGGGAGGAGGCAAAGGGGGGGGGAGAGGAGAGGGTCACAAAAAGGGACAGGAGAAGATTTCTCCCTCTTTAAGCCAGAGGTGAGTCGTAGAGCTGCGACTCTCATTCAAGGCAGTCAGGAAGGCCGGAGAGGATGGAAACTGAAATTCATTCACATCCAAAAATGCTACCGGTTGCCCAAATCTGGCAAACCACAAGCAGGAACCAAGGGTTGAAACATGCAGAGAGTTTGATTTTCTCTTCTTTTCTATAAAATCAATGAATGTTTTTATCAAGGTGTTGGTAAAATCCAGGAACGAGCCTCTTGCAACTCACACCAACCTGTCTCCAGCCACAATCCTCGGGCCAGAGATTAATAACCAGCCTTTGGGCCGTCGGTTCACTACTTTGCACGAAGGAGTGGATTATTTAAGCAGAAGCAGTGATGCTGTCCAGACCACGCTAAGCCACACTTGTTGCCAGTTTGGGGAAGTGACTTGCTTTGGACTTTTTAATACAGCCGGCCAGCCTCCTCCTGAAAGGTCAAATTTTTTTGAAGCAAGGCCCCTGTTCTTTCTTCCCAGCCTTCAAAAGGCCGCCTCCAGCATTTCCAAGAGGGAACGGGTTGGCCTTGGACGAAAGGGGCAAAATAGGCGAGCGTACACGAAAGGAGAGTGGGAGTCTGATACGTAAATGCCCAACATGTCAGTGAAAAAACATTTTAGTCCATTCCTCCACCTTGATATACTAGCTTTCTACTTGCAGGGTTTGTTCCCAGAAAGGATGACAGGAAAACGGTATCCGGCTATACTCCCTATCTGGCGTGATCTGAAAAGGTGCCTCTGTCTCTTGCATAATGTGTATCATACATGAGAAAGCACACTTCAAACTCCTCTTCATCCTGCTTGAGGGGGAAGGACTTGGCCTAGTCAAGACGCCCGAGATAGCACCGATTTTAAAAATTAACTTTTGCAAATGCTGCACAGGGATGGAGAACAGGAAGGATGTGACTCTTCCCAGTTGCCCAGGCATCAAGCTGATTGCCTAGATCTGGATGGGGGGGGAGGTTTAACCTGTCAGAAACACATTTACAAGGAAACAAATCTCAACGCGGCAAGGAAGGTAAGTGGGCAGGAAGCGTGCAAGCCGCTCCTTCTCCACCACTCAAGCCTGCCGGGGAGGAGTTCAGTGGCCCACAGTCACAGGCCAGACTGGAGGCAGAGGGTGCTCCACAAGGCGATCCTCTTTCTGCTGTCAAGTCACCCTGCCCCACAAAAAATCCAGAGGGGAAGCTTGAAAAGGAGCACCGTTTTATGGACTAAGGTTCTTGTTGTTTTTAAAAAGAAAAATGTCAGTCAACCAACAGCAGGAGACGTGGAGTACCTTCTCCCACTGGAATTCCACCGGTCCAGAGCTGGTTGTGTTGCAGGTGAGGAGCAGCGTGTCCCCGTCCCGCGGCGTGTGTTTGCGCTGCTGTTTCTCCGCATCGACAGCGACGATCCGGACCGTGGGGACGTCCAGGTCTGAAGGAGAGAAACGGCTCCCTTGATGCATCAAAGCCAGGTCCCTTCGCGACACCCCCGTCTCTGCGCTCGCCTTGTCTGCAGGGGTTCAGATCTTCCCATGGGGCTTCTCCGCGGCCCTGGCTGCTCCCCGACTCCCCACCCACACCTCCTGCCGGCTGGGACGTTCAGCAGGGGCTCGGGACTCCTGGCCTTGGGGGGCTCTGGGGAGAGGCATGCCATCTCGCTGAGCGACACCAGCCTAAATGCGACTCTAGGCGCCTCAAGGGTGCCCCTCCCTGTCCCCCCCATTTCTAAAGGTACGTGTTCTTCATCTGCCTCAGATACAAAACAGACCAACCGCTGGTCCAGAAAGCATTTCCCGAGAGGCTTCTCGGTACAGAAACTAAAGGGTGAGGTGGAAAGGTGCCCCACTCCACTGTAGCCCCCAACTTCTGCTTCACTTTCAGGGATCCCCCCCCCCCGGTCCCGTTCCAATGGACTCGGACTACATCATCCAGAATCCACCACGCTGGGTATTCTGGGAGTTATAACCCCAAAAGTTGCATTTCCAACTTTGGTTAAATCAGTCAGTGAAAACCTCGTAAAGTCAAATCTGCCTTTTATTTTAACTGCCTGCAACATTCAAGTCTGTTTTTAACTTTTTTAATTTTATTGAAAGTTTGGGGTGGGGTTTTATTGACTTTCTGTATTTATTGTTGGGCATCTGTTGTATTTAGACGAGCTTTTAGCATGCTGCAAAAAGCCCAGAGATTGTGAGCACTATGGGGTAGTATAGAAACTGAAATGTAAGTAAGTAAGTAAGTAAGTAAGTAAGTAAGTAAGTAAGTAAGTAAGTAAGTAAGTAAGTAAGTAAGTAAGTAAGTAAGTAAGTAATCTTGGAAAGGAGAATGTACTTTCTGATTTCAGTGTTTTGTTTTGATTTGCAAATGTCTATAGTTTTTTTTAAAGTTTCTGTAAGTATCTGCTTATTAGACAGCTCTACTGGACACCCAAGGGGGCCACTCTTTTCAGAATAAGCCCGCCCCCACCCAATCCTGCCCAGATTTACTTACAGTTTACAAAGAGATTCACCGAGGCGTTCAGCTCGGCAAAGGACTGCAAGTCAAGCACTTTGCACAGGTAGCTCCCGCTCTGATTCCTGTCCACATCCCGAAGGACCACTTTCCCTCCACTGACATCGGACAGCGGCTCTTCTTCCCCATCCTCCAGAGCATAAAGACAAAAGAGCAGGGGAAAAAAAAGCTTAGGAAGGCCGTGAGCAGCACACAATGCCACTGACAAGGGCAAATTCTCCCTGGGACACCCACACCTACACACCCATTTGTGTGGACACCTCACGTTTCTAGATCTCATGATTTCAGACAGAAGCCTGGAAGTAGCCGCAGCAGCTTCTCTGAGATTCCAAGGAAACAACACGAAGAAGGCGTTCTGGAGATTCCTACCATCTCTGCTCTCCATCGCAATGTTAGCAATCATGACAAAGCTATAAGACAGCTCTTTCTCCAGGTAAGGAACGACAGAGTTCCTAAAAAATTAGCTTGGACTGTTCCCCTCTTAATGGAGCGAAGAGAGCTAGAACATCCACCCGCTTTCTGACCTCCGCCTGCCTCCATCTTGACCGACCGGCTGACCTGCAGCTTGACTGCAGACCAGGGGCAGCCTCCCCACCGGCCCCCGGGCTCACCTGCAGCTTGACCAAGGTGTACTCGGGGGGCGGGTTCCCGTCGGCTTTGCAGTGGAGGGTCACGCTGTCCCCCTCCTTCACGACTGGCCTTGATGCGTTGATCACAAAGCTGATTTCCTCCGAGGGGTCTGCGGAGCAAACAGAACCTGGATCAGCTTCTCCTCGGCAGCTGGCCTGCTCAGAGCAGAGGATAAAGAAGCTTGAGCACCTATGGTTCCCTCCCCCACTACATTTACTTCTTCCAGGGCTGTCACAGAGGCAAGGTGACAGGAGCCCACTTTTACGCTGCTTTCAGAGGCACTCTGTGGATGTGTTTCAAGGACGTTGACAGCAGAGTTTCCCAGAGAAGTGTCCAGAAAGGTCAGGCTCAGACCAAACGGAAGGCGTAATGACACGCTCACAGGTTCCGGTGAGCCCCAGAGGGTTCTCCGAGAGTCCACGTGGACCCAGGTGTCCTGCCCTTCTCCAAGAAACTGCACAAGGGGCAACGGCCCCTTCTTTCATCCATCCAAACAGCATCTTCTTGTCAAGACATCCCAATCCGAGCAAAGTGCACAGCAAACTCCCACCATCCGCCCAGACTTACAATGAATGTTGATGGTGAAGTTCTTGGACACGATGGTCTGCTTTGCCCCCATCAGGCTGTAATCGACCTGGCAGTGGAAGACGGCATGGCGGTCGTCTTTGGTGACTTGGGCCAAGAGAGTGCTCTGGACGGTGTACAAGCCACTCGACTCCATAATGTGCATCGGGCGGATTTCAATGTCTAATGAAGGGAGGACAAGAGAGAGGGAGGGAGGGAGGGAGGGAGGGCAGGAAAAGGAATGACACCGGTTCTTAAACCCTGCACCTAAATCTGTATTTTCAAACGCTTCTAGCAGTGCTTTTTAAGTTGCAAAACCCATGTTAAAGGCCACAGTTTCCTTCTAGAGAGGAGAATAGAGCCCTGTTCCCTGCGCTTCTGCAAAGCCCTTTTAAAACGTACCTTTCCCATTTTCAGTCAAAGGCTCTTCATCCTTGTACCACGTGATGGTGGAGGCCGGGTAGCTGTTGCGGCTGATGCATTTTGCAATCTGAAAGACAAACCAACAGCTTCACGCACACTTTGCCACCGGCCTCGTGGTTCACTGATGGCCGGAGGGTCCCTTCTGAACCAGATGATCTATACATCTCTTTGCTAAGTAGAAAGAAAACATCATTATACAGTGGTGCCTCGCTTAACAATTGCCCCGCATTACGACAAATCCGCTTTACGACTATCTTTTTGCAATCGCAATCGCAATTGCAAAATGATGGTCTAAATGGGAGAATTTTGCTTAGCAACAATCCCGCCGGCTTTGGGAACCGATTTTTGCTTTACAACGATCAAAAACAGCTGATCATCGGGTTTTCAAAATGGCTGCCGGGTGCTTAAAATGGCTCCCTGCTGTGCTTAGGGACGGATTCCTCGCTATACAGGCAGCGAAAATGGCCGCCGTATGGAGGATCTTCGCTGGATGGTGAGGTTATACCCCACTGGAATGCATTGAACGGGTTTCAATGCGTTTCGATTGGGTTTTTAATTTCGCTTTACGATGTTTTCGCTTAATGGCAATTTTCCTGGAACGGATTATCGTCGTTAAGCAAGGCACCACTGTACACTGGACCTGGGCAAAGGCTGCGAAAGGCATTCCACCATCTCCTTACCCTGACATCCCTTCTCTGGCCAATTTATGCTCCAGACCAACCTTAGGAACTCGGTCTGCTTTCCCCAAAAGATGGCCCCGTGAATGCACGGCTTCCGAGCAACAGCAATAGTCCCGATTTAGCCTTTTGAGACTCTTGGCATTCACTGTTAAGTATTTAGACAATCCAGCTTCCTCCAAGCCTCGGGGTTAGAAAGAAAGAGAAACAGGGAACTGAAAGCCGAAAGGGGATCTTGGATCAGCTAATGGACTTTTAAGAGTGTGTCTCTTTCTCCTGCAGTGTCCCTCGGTTCCTTTTAAAGATGTTATTAAAAAGAGAAAAAAAAGCTTCCGTTCCAGTTCAGTCTGGGCTGCGTGGAAGGTAAAGGCAGGAACCAGAAAGGTCTGGCTTTCCAGAAGCTGTTGGATCACAACTCCCATCGTTCCTCACCACGAGCCATGCTGGCGAGAAGATGGGGATTGCAGTGGACGAAAAGACGGCCGGATGCCTCCTCTCCCCAAAGCGCCCACACAAACCAGGGCTGTATATTCAGCGCTCGAAGAGGGACAAGGGTGCAACTGTGCCTAACCAGGCTGAACGACCCAAAAGAAAACCAGGAAGCCGCCATCCAGAGCCACCTCTTCCCACCCTTCGTTCTGCGCAAGTTCCCTGGGAAAGCTCCAAACTTCGACCCGCCACGCGTGATCTAACGGGGCTTTGAAGGCATTCCCGTTATTCAGAGCCCTAAGAACCACCGGACTGGAAACCAGCAAGGTTTATGTTTTGGAAAAAGGGAAAGCCTGGAGGTTGAGAACGGGAGCTTCTGCACCCACAAAGCAGATCCGAAATCCAACCTTGTGACGCACGACGGCCCACGGACGAGACGCATCCACGCCCGCAAGGTTCTCACCTCGTACTTCTCAGAGTCCGACGCCGTGATGCCAGTGTCTGTCTTCTGAATGACCGGTGGCTCTGGGGCTTCTGGAATGGGAAACACACGGAGGGCAAGGATGAGAATGAGGCCAAGGAAGACAAAAACCGAAAACACAACAGGTGCGCACCCGCTTCTTTTCTTGCCTTCCAAGGCGAAAGGTTCTCCCCTCTTGCCAAGGCTTGGCACGTCCCGGATGACTTACTGGAGACTCGCAGCGTGGTCCGGTTCTCGGCAACGCCGGCGCTGCCCAAGCCCACCTGGCAGATGTACACCTTGGCGTCCTGCAGAGCCGCCTGGCGGATTTCGAGGGAGAAATTGGCCAGGATGCTCAGCCGGTCCTTGAGCTTGGGGTCCGTGTTTTGTTCTCTGTCCCGGATCATGGAGATAATCAGCTTCCGTTGGGTTTTGTCAAACTAAAACAGCGAGAAGAAAAAGAGGGCAGGGGTTGAGGACGGTCCCCAGGGAGACGGATACGAATCACCCATGTCTACGGTCGACCTTTCTTAAGTTTCCAAAGAGGTAAGTGTGTTAGGCTGTTTCAGCAACAACAAATCCCAAATTGAAAAATAGTGTGGCTCTTTAAGACAAACACACCGATTTCCATGTGACCTTCCTAGGGATTGAAAGCCATTTCCTTCAGACACCGGAAGCCTCTGGAGATGACCTGGGCTGTCATCTGCAAAAGCTCTCAGAGACGCCCACTTGCTGTGAATCTTATCAGAGCTACAAGAGTTCTGATGTGCTTCTCCTTTTTGTAGATTCCTTAGAGGCTTCAGTCCCGTCTGTGTTTGCTGCAAATCAAGTCCTGCTGAACAGGGCTTGGCTTCTGGGCAGACACTCCGAGATTTGATGGCCAACGGGATCATTTTTAGTACTGATGCCTGCTTTGCACAATGCTCCCGAATCAGTCGTTTCAGAAAATGGCGTGTAGAAACTTTGCAAAAAAATTTTTAAATACAATCCATTGGAAGCATTTAACGAAAACGTGCAAAGGTTACAAAGTTAAATCATTAAGGCTGAGTCTTCAAAGAAGAATCCACCTACAATATTTACAATGTATCTACTGTAAATATCTAAGCAAACAAACCTAAATCTTGTTTACTGAAGTTTCTTTAACTTCAGGAAATCGGGGCTAAGCCTGACACAGTTTTTGCTCCCGGAGTGGCTGCAGGGTGGATCAGTTGCCACCTGGGGGCAGCGTCGGTTGTTCAGAGAGGGATTAAAAACCAAGTTTCGACAACACGGCCGGCTCCTGCTTTGATCAGTTTGGCTTTCGACAAATATATTTTTGACAGCTTTCGTCTGACGTTTCAAATTCCAAACAGAAAAAGGGACAGCGTGCTAAAATGAGGAAAAAGGACGCCATCTTTTATTGCGTCCTGTGCAAGCTTCTGGAGTCCCACGGAGCTCCTTGTCAACCCTCGGCCGCAGCAGCTGCCGCCATTTCACGTGGAAAGGCCAGCAATTGCATATCAAACGGTGATTTATCACAGCCCCTATAGAAAGGTGTCATAACGTGGAGCTAGAGGGGAAAAAAGGAAGCAAGGAAGGTCCAGGGCTACAGAAATGAGGATGATGATGGGAATAAAGGAAGAGCAGGTAAGGAACAGCGCTGGGGGACTTCTCTAGTTGGATGCAGGATGGGGCCACGGAAAAAGTGGGAGGCCAGAAAGAGAAAGCCTAAACAGGGAAGACAGAACAGTCAGGAAGTCAGAAGGCGAGAAAGAAATAACAGAGGCCAGCGACAGAGTATATACATGATGAACTGCACAGAGCCAGGTTGCTTCCCGAATCCTACCCTTTTTCCTGCAGAACTTTTTCATATCCCCCACCCCCTTTTTTTGGGTTGAACTTACAGAGTGCCAGTGGATGTAAGCATAGCTGCCGTTCTCCGGGAGAGAGAACTGGCAGGGAATGAGGGCGGTCTTCCCCATTTCCACCTCCACCACCTCCGGCATGGCGACTTCGCCTTCTCCAGATACTCCTGAAAGAAAAGAGACACATCAGGGGTGAGAAGCCACTGCAAAATCCACCCTACTTCCAGGGGGAAAACCTCTCTCTCCTCCCTCCCTTCCCCCAAACTTCCCGTTGGACGCGGTGGAAAGGAAAGGAAGGCCGTCTTCCTGGGTGGAACGCAACTTGCATATGGCCTGGCATTTCTGGCATAAATAACAGAGCTAATACTAGGCATGCTTTGGCATCTGGGGCAAAATCTCACCCGTTGCACTCTGAGGCATGGCCATGAACCACCACCACCCCACAGACACAGAGGATAAGAATCCAGAGTCCCCTCAAAGCCAAAAAGGAAAAAAAAAGTTTATGCTTTAAAAAAAAGAAAAAGAAAACAGATTAAGGGTTTGGAGATGTTGCCACTATTTAATTTCCTAGCGGCCTACAGGAGATTCAGCTCTAGAGTCGGGGGGGCCTTCCAAGTTCTGGTACCCTGAGGCAAAGCCACCGTCGCTCCAACACCCCCCCAGCTACAGCCCTGCAAAAAGATCCGGTTCCACCTGTTCAGCAAAGTCTTTCCGCCAAAGACCGGACAAGCTTTTAAGAATCCTGTGGGTCCTTTTTTTTCCTCCCAGCTCCAGGGACCTTCGGGGACTGCTTCATTTGCACCCGGGGGGGGGCTGGTCCCCTTCCGCCTTCCCACCCCATTAAAATGGAACAAAAACAATCAATTTTTTGAGTAAATCATTTGTAGTCTTGACAACATCCGGTGGACAGGATTGATTAAAACGGAGCGCAAGGAACCACGATGGCCAAGCCTATTCTCACCAGAAAAAGAAAGGGGGGGTGTCAACCATTAAACTATCAGGAACTTTATGGGAATTGCCTGTCCCTGGTAGGGTTGCCTGGGAATGTGGAGGGTTTTGCCCTAGACGAGTGCCTTTCGTGGCGGCTCAGAGAAGAGATCCTCGGGGTGTATCTATGCCCACGGGTTCGAAACACGTTTGAGGTCGTTCCTTCTCTCTAGGAAACCATTTTGGGGAGAGCCGGGGAACTCCTCACGACCACACACGGCAAACCTCAGGAATGTTTTTTGGGGGGAAACCATGACAGTTTAAAAGGGTACAGAACTAGCTTGTGAGGTACACGCCACGAATACGTTGGTATTGGGGTGAAAAGTCCATAATAACAGCAAAATCTTAAGCACAAGCCCACCGGAGCATATGCAGAGTGTCCTTGGCTTACAAAAAGTCTGCTCCCCCCCCCATTCTGTCTCCGGCACCTGTTCGGTTGAAGGCGTTTCCCCATCCATTGGATCAAAAAGGTCCAGGTAACCCAACCACACCTCTTACATCCCGTCTTTATATATTCTGCCCACATGAATTAAACCGGCTGCCAAGGCAATAAAAATAAACGGTGCGCAAATCAGCGGGTGCTTATATTTCCTTCCCCCGCTCCTCTGAAGGGTGGGTGTCCACAGCTTTTTTCAGACTCTCAAAGAAACCCATGACACCCCCCCCCAAAAAAGGTCAAGATCCGCAGCTTTAAAGAGGACTTCCTTTGGTCAAAACACATCTTCTCGCTTCCTCTTTCTTCCTAAAGACAGATCTGCTGGAGTGGGGTGGAAATCCTGCCCATCAGCCGTGAGTCACACAACTGGCTTCTCCCCAGAATTTGGCCCTGGAAGGGGGTGGTGGTTTCCAGTCTTGCTTTTTAGGGCCAAGAAGGGGGTAGAAGGGAAGGGACGGCAGCCACACTTCCTTTAAAGACGGCCGCGAACAGGCGGCTCTTTCCATCCGTTGCACGAAGGGGAAATGGGCTGCTGCCCCATCCCAGGGGCTTCCCTGGTTAGCAAGGAAACAGGTGTGAGGTCCGGGATCTCTGGGGGGGAATCACACAAGCAACACATGTGCGCGGCTAGCAGAATGGCGGGAGGGCTTCCCATGGCTCTCTCCGCTCCCCCTCCTCACTCCTAATCCCCCATCCCTGCCTCGACACCGCTTTGAGAGCAACACTGCAGCATCCCCCAAGCAGACTGTCAACCTGGGCTACTCCCCCCTCCAGCGACAAAGGGTTGTTATGTGTATGTTTTCTTTGCTGAACACCTCCTGGGGGTTAAGGTGTCCAGACAGTCAGGAAAAGCATGATAAGTGCATTTAGCTCAGGGGATTAAAACAACCCTCCCTCCTCGTCCCGAAAGCAAATCCCAAATCGTGTCTAGGGATGTTTTGATTGTGTGTGTGTGTGACCAGCAATAATGGCCATAATAACCCCTTTTCCTGGCCTGCCCTCGGCGTGGGTTGTGTCAATGCAAGAAACCAGGAGCAAAAACATATACACATAAACTTAGAAAGCCTTCCGCAGCTCCCCAAGTATTTGCAAGACAACAGTTTTAACAGGCGAGGTGTAAACAACTATGTACAACTCAAAAGCATGCTTTGAAGATAGCCTCCAAAATCCTAGAATATTCTAGTAAAAAAATGGAAGGAGGGGTGGAAGGAGGTAGAAATCTTTCCCATTAGCAAAAAGTCTTATACAGTAATGAGCCTTTCCACAGAAATTAAGATCTGATTTTCATTTTTGGTTTTTCCAGGCAAAGCCCACACAGCAGACTCTGCCTCCTCTTTCCACTTTATTGAATGAAAAAAGAACCCCTTTTTCGTGTGCAGAGTTTTGACCTGCACGAAAGGAACATAAAGAGATCATGAAGCTTGCATGCTTCCGTGTGAAGGAGAGTCTTTTTGTCCATTTCTGAACAGCACATGGACTCAAGAAGTTGGAGGGGGGGCCTCTAAGGCCATCCCCCCCTCAATCAATTCAGGAATACCTGCCACCCGTAAGCCCCCATGGCAAGGTTCAAGCCACATCTGGGATTCTCTGCTTTCATGCTTCATACCCAATGCTCCCAAACACAGTCCTGCAAGCTGAGGACCTGGGATCGAGGCTGTGCGCACGGGGGGGGGGGGATTTCTCTGCACCTGGTGAACCTCTGCAGCTCTGGGTTAGCGCAGGGAGCGCCACAAGGCTGCAGTAAATATTCATTTATTTCAAATGTTTCTATATTGCCCCACCTAAAGAAGTGGCTACACATTTAGGAAGTAAAGAAATAAACGCCACAATGTTCACAGAAAAAATTCCTTCCCTGAAAGGGGGGGGGGGGAAACAGGTGATTTAAAAAATTAGAAATGTTAAGCAGCAGCAAGAAAACATAAACAGCAAAAGGGAAGATTGAAATACACTTCAAGGACTGACGCCGCGGCAGATGGAGAGACAGAGAGAGAGAGAGAGAGGGGCTGCCAAACAAGTCCTGCCATGTCTCAAACGTCTTCCGAGTTCTCTGTTTCAACACCGCAAAGGCAGAGAGAGAGAGAGAGAGAGAGAGAGAGAGAAACGGGGGCAGTTTGGGTTGAACTGGATACGATTTGCAAAACAGAAAAACCAACCTGGGTGCACCGACAGACCCAGGTGCCAAGGCAAGAAGTCGGAAGGGACCCGTACGGAAGCTCGCCAGCAGGCCAGCGGTTGGGGCTTACTCCTGGCTCAGCCCACATAATGGAGTCTCTGGCCAGATTCCAGGGGGTGGGGGGGGGAAGGTAATGGGTTTACATTGATCCAGGGCTAGGATTGGGCCCCAGGGAGCGGAGGCAGAAAGGTGGACTGTAAAACAATCCACAGGATACAAAACGGGAGAAGGCACCCCTGGCATCTCCATCCGCAACAGGAATTCCATCTCTTCCGGACAACCGCGGAAATGCATCCTGGGAGACAACGGTTCCAGAAGGACCCGCCTCCCCATTCCCCCAAGGTTAGGGGACCAGAAGATGCGTCTTTTCCTTCTCTTCCTCCTCCAGCCCCAGAGGAAGGCTCTCTCTCTTTCTCTCTCTTCCTGAACTATTTGTCCCAACCCAATTTTAAAAAGTTAGCGGCCCCCAGGAATGGGGAGACAACAGGCGGGGAGGAAAGAAGCAACCCATTCAAACAAGGTTTGGAAAGGCTTTGGTGCCAGCACCGAAGAGCCATGAAGCAGAGACTCAGGGAAGTGGAGGGAACAAAAAAATGGTTTCCGAAGTCCGCAGTGTACTCACAGAAGGTGCTTGCTTAGCAAACAGACAAGATGGATGGAGGTGTCAGGGACACACAGCTACTGCCAGGAGCAGGGCAAGGGAGTGGGGCGGGGTTGGTTTATTAAAGGGACTGAACAAACGCTCTTAAAATTGTCAGTGCCTAGGACCAGGAAGAGCCCACACAACCCCATTTTTCCTACATGGGGGGAGCCACCCAAATTAGCACCTGCTGCACCCCTTTATCTTGTAAAAATTGGCCAAAGAAGGGCCA